TGTTGTGCGCCCTTCCTGCGAATCCCGTGCTCCATCCTCCTCCCTCCCTTTTCCATCCGTCCTCCCTTCCCCTTGTTACAGGGGCTGCACCAACTACACGCGGCAGGCAAGGAAGATATACTCCCAACGGGGTAGTATCGAAAACGAAGAGCCCGGGTTACCGAGGTTTTGTGACATACGTGTTGAATGGCACGCGAATAGGTGAGACCCAACAGTCTTAAAGTGAGTGTTGTTGGTGTTGACCTCTCACTACTGAAGAACAAACTGTTGTTGATCCACCTCTGAAGTGACCACTGTGTTTTTTTCCACTGAAGTGCTTCCCCCGGGGCTCGCACCAGGTTTGTTATCAGGGCAGGTCATTCGGCTCAAACTGTGCCCGTGGCCCCGGGCTGACAACGACAACGGCTCCCGCTTTTTCCTCACAGTGTAGCCAGGACCCCCGCTCCCGCCTGAGACTTCCTCGCATATTACTCACGAATTGTGCTCTCGTTTGGGACTTCCTTTCCATTTATTCAGGAATCGCTGTCCCGGCGCTCTTGAGTCGCGCTCTCGCTGGAGACTTCACTGCAATTTCATCAAGAATCGCGTTCTTGCGTTGGAATTCCTTGCAATTTGCTCGGGCGCCGCGCTCCCGACACTCAGGCACCCATGAGTCGCGCTCGCGCTTAGGACTCCCTCACGGCTTACTTAGGAATCGGGATCTCGCTGCCCTTAGTGGCCCCGTTGCATCCCTTCGTTGCCCCCTTCGCTGCCCTTCGTGGACCGGTTGCAGCCCTTCGTGGCCCCTTCGCTGCACTTCGTGGACTCGTTGCAGCCCTTCGTGGTTCCCTCGCTGCCCTTCTTGGCCCCGTTGCAGCCTTCGTGGCCCCCTCGCTGCCCTTCGTGGACTCGTTGCACCCCCTCGTGGCACCCTCGCTGCCCTTCGTGGCCCCGTTGCAGCTTTTCGTTGCCCCTTCGCTGCCCTTCGTGGCCCCGTTGCAGCCCTTCGTGGCACCCTCACAGCTTTTTTTGGCCCCGTAGCTTCGTGGCCCCCTCGCTTCCCTTGCTTTTTCCCTCGTCTTCCTGTTTGAGGGGCTGCGCCAATACACATGTCAGGCAAAAAAGACATACCCCTAAAGGGGTATAGTGGAAGATGACGAGGGCGAGGGCGAGTTGAGAGACACGCGCGCATGTAAGAGCGAACAGTCGTATAATAATTGTAGTTGTTGCTGTTGTTGTTGCTGCTGTTGATGAAGTCTCACTGTTCAAATCCCCCCCTCCGGGGCACATGGTGTTTTTTGATTGAAGTGCCCTTCCCGAGGCTCGCACCCGATTTCTTCACAGGGGAGAGTATTGGGTCTCAGAATTGGGTCGTTGCCTTCGGTATACCACAACAGCAGCAAAATCAACAACAGCAGCCACAACAACAACAACACAACAGCAGCAACAACAACAATGACTCCCGCCTGATACTTCCTTGCAATGGATTCCCAAATCGCTCTCTCACGCGGGGCGTCCTCACAATTTATGCAGGGATCGTGCTGTCGCGCGGGACTCCTTCGCCATGTATTCAGACGCCGCGCCCTCGACACTCAGGAATCGCGCCCTCGCGAGGGACTTCCTGATGATTTGGGGGGAATCGCTATCGCTTGATACTTCTCCGCGATTCATGCAGGACGCACGCTTCAGCAACCCGCCTGCTCGACCTGGCCGCCTGTGCCCGCCTTACCGCCCCGCCTGTTAAGGTCTACCCGCCTGGTCTGCCCGTATGGTTCTGCCACGTGTTTTCTGTTCATGGTTCCGCTCCTGTTACTCTCTCCCGTGCTCCATCCTCCTCCCTCCCCCTTGGCCCTTCCTTCCATCCGTCCGCTCTTCTCCGACCTACGGGGCTGCACGAAATACGCGTTGCAGGTAAGCAAGATATATTCCCCCCAAGGGGGTACGATCGAAGACGAAGAGGGCGGGTATCGAAGGTTTGGGACATACGTGTTGAGTGGCCCGCGAGCAGACAAGAGCGAACAGTATTAAACTGATTGTTGTTGTTGTTGTTGTTGTTGCTGCTGCTGCTGTTGTTGTTGTTGTTGTTGTTGTTGTTGTTGTTGTTGTTGTTGTGGTTGTTGTTGTTGTGGTTGTTGTTATGATTGTTCTTCGTGTTGGGCATCGTGCCCATGTTGATCCACCCCCATCTCGGGCGCCCAACGGGAGGAAGCGAGGGCGGATGTTTCGTCTACACTTGCCAGAGCTCAGCCCCCTCCCCCTGGGCTGGCCCCCCCCCCCCCCCTCACGCTCCCCCTCCACGAGGGGGCGGCAGAGGCAGGGCCAGGGGGCGGCCGGGCCCACCGACTTGGCATCGCTCGGACATGTGCGTATTTTGTTTCCCCCGACGAAGACCGTTTCGGGAGCATCCTGGGCCACCTGGCGAAAAAGCAGCGCGAAGAGGCCGAACCGTGGCACGGGGAACGGACGCCCGAGCGACGGCGAGAGGCAGCCCGCTCCAGACCGCCCTGCGGGAAAGCAGCGCGCGGAGCCGCAACATGTGCACGAGGAGCGGACGTCCGAGCGACGGCAACATTCGGCCCGATCCGGACCACCTTGCGAAATATCTGTGGTTCAGAGGTTAGGTCTCGAGGGATGGGGTCCCAAGGGTAGGAAGGGTTCCAAGGGTGGGTTTACATTTGCTGGGGCACTTCGTCCCTAGGACCCCATTCCTCAGGACGAGGTGCCCCAAACAATCCTTGAATCCACCCTTGGAATCCACCCTCAGGACCCCATCTTTGACCCGCCGAACAAAAAAAACAACCCACGAAGCCGAGAAAAGTGCACGGGGAGTGGACCGCCGAGCGATGGCGAGTTGGACGACGGCGCCGCCGCCGCGCCCGCGTGCCACCGCCGAGAGGGGGGCGCAGAGAAGGACCTGGACAGAACGAAGGGAGGAAAATGATGCCTCGACCCACGGACGAAAAGTGAAGACTGTTTTAGACCACACCGCTGCCGTTTGTTTCGGGCGCGCCAGTATCCTGCCTTACCGAAGTCCCCGTTTATGGGGCCCTGGCATACAGTCGGACCGAGGTATAAGATCGACGTTGTGTCGGGGAGTGTACCCTAATGTTCTTCGCGTTTGTTGCATGCTCTTGTGCATGAACGTTGTTTGGGGCACCTCGTCCTCAGGACCTCATCCCTCAGGACCCCAATTCTTTGAACACCGAAGGGAAGCTCCGCCCAAGCTTGCCTCCGGCGGAGGCTCGCGCGCGGCGGGGCCTCCCTCCCCGGCCCGGCTGCGCGGCAGCGGGGGGAGAGGCCGGGCGCTCCGCGCTTTCCGACGCACCAGCCTTTTTCGTTGCTACGTTTCGGCCCCGAGGGGCCGCGACAGGTAAAGCGGGCATCTCCCCCTACAGGAGGAGTATTCAAACATTAGTCAGGGATCGATTTTTCATATGTTTGAATATTTTCGGCCGTGTTTGATGGTTCATTGTTCCTTCACAATCCGCGCTACAGTCAACCCGCATGGTAAGGATGGGCAGCCTTCCCAAGGGTACCCTTGCATCCTTGCCTCCTCGGTCCGTCCTTGGCCACTTTCGCTGGCCGCGCCCCACCCGAGGAGCTTCGAAACGGCCTTCCAAGGCCATTGCATCCTTGCATCCTTGTCGTGAATCCTTATGATACGGGTCGACTGCATGTTTTCGGACATGTTGAGTCGTTCTCGCACCTGTTGGCAGCGCGCAGCCGCTTTAGGTGGCGTCCGCCCTTCTGGAACCCCTTGAGACGTACAGAGTCCGAGCGTACAGTGGAAACCCATGCCAAGAAACACCTTGCTTGCCTCCAGCGTGGGTTTCGATTCTTTGCGATGGAAAGCGCGACGTTCGCACACAAAAAAACGATGGACGTCCTGGTGTTCCAGGGTTGGGTTTCTTGTGGAGGGGTTCTTGTGGTCGGGCTCCTACTGTAGATGCACCTCTTCCGTCGGCATCTGGACAACTAGAGCTTTCAGATCCCTCCGTGGTGTCGAACGGAGCAGGGGGAGCAGAGGCTGCGGCCAAGTGATCATTGCCCGCGGGGATGCCGATTGTTGCAACACGGAGCCCCCATAAGTCCATATCTTTTCCCCAGGGCCGCTTCTCATCCCGCGTAGATTTCCACGGTCCCTGAAAGGGCCCCTGGAGAAGGAGGAGGAGGAGGAATATCAGGAGGAGGAGGAGGAGGCGGAGGAGGAGGAGGAGGAGGAATAATATCAGGAGGAGGAGGAATGCGGAGGAGGAGAGGAGGAGGAGGGAGGAGGAGGAGGAGGAGGAGGAGGAGGAGGAGGAGGACGGCCAACAATCTCAGCTCCCGTCGTTATTGATCGGCGACCCGAGCACGTCTGGGGATTTCTCGTCGCCGCTCCTCCGTGGTGCCGTTGTGGTCAGCCTCGTGCCCAGGGTGCGCTGCCCCTCTGCCTCGCTCGTGTTTCGGCCGCACACGCTGCGAAGCCCGTCGGGACTCGACGACCCCCAGGAGAAGATGGAAGAGGAGGAGGAGGAGGAGGAGGAGGAGGAGGAGGAGGAGAGGATGAGGAGTTGGAAGAGGAGGAGAGGAGGGGTAGGAGGGGTGAGGAGGGAGAGGAGGAGGGAGGAGGTAGGGGAGGGGGGAGAAGGAGGGAGGAGGAGGGGGTAGGAGGGAGGAGGGTGAGAAGGAGGGAGGAGGAGGGAAGAGGAGGGAGGAGGGGTAGGAGGGGTGAGGAGGGAGAGGAGGAGGGAGGAGGTAGGGGAGGGGGGAGAAGGAGGGAGGAGGAGGGGGTAGGAGGGAGGAGGGTGAGAAGGAGGGAGGAGGAGGGAAGAGGAGGGAGGAGGGGTAGGAGGGCTGAGGAGGGAGAGGAGGCGGGAGGAGGTAGAGGAGGGGGGAGAGGAGGAGGGAGGAGGAGGGAGGAGGAGGAGCGGGGAGGGGGAGGAGAAGGAATTGAGGGAGGAGGAGGGGGAGCAGCGGTGCCACGCCAGCTTGCACCGCCGCGCGGCGCTCGCCGCTCGCCTCCGTTGGCGGCCCGGCAGATGTTCCGGGGCATGCGCGTCCACGGCGAGCCGTGCGCCTGGTGCGAGGGCAGCAGCTGCGACGCGCTCGGCGACAGCGGGAGGCGCGGCGAGCGGCGGAGCGCTGGCGCTCCGGCAGTCCCTCGGTGCTGCACGGTGTCCACTGCGCGGTCCTGGGTCGTCCACGTGGCGAGCTTTTGTCCGAGGTTCCGTCCCGCTGAGCGGAGCGACCCGCGAGCCACTCGCAAGGTTCCAGCGTGTCGCCGGGGCCGCCGTGGCGGCGCGCTGTGCAAGAGTTCCAGACCATATCTTGGTCGCCGTGAGGGGTCCGAGCAGATGGGGTCGGAGGATCGCGCCGCATCGCCGATGTATTGGCGATGCGGCTCGATGTGGAGCCCGACTTCATCCAAGCCGACGTCGCCGATGCATCGCCGATGTCGCCAGTGCATCGTCGACGTATCGTCGATGCATCGGCGATGCGGCGCGATCCTCCGGCCCCATCTGCTCGGACCCCATTTGGGAGGCCTCTACTGTAGCAAACCCTGACTGGCTCTCGTCGTGATAAAATCACGACGGGAGGTTTTTGGCCGTCTTCGGCCTCCAGGGGCCTTCGCCGGACTCCAGGGTCCGTCAAAAAGGACCCGGGATGAGTAGTGAGCGTTGATTCCCTTTGCGGTAACGGTCACTACCCCGGGGAAGGGGGAGGGGGGTTCGGGCGGGAGGGTAACGGTAACGGCGGCCGCGGCGTGCACCCGCCAGGGTGCATCCGCCCTACAGGCGCATCAATCGGCCGTGTGCACAACAGTCTCTGCGTACACGACAATGCCAATGCCTGCGTGCAACACACCGCCGCCTGTGTAACCCGCAGTGCCTTCGTGAACCACAACCGCGGTGTGCACCGCAGCACTGCCACGTCGCCACCCCAGTGCCTGTGTTACCTGCAGAAGCCGTGTGCGCAACAGCGCCTGCGTACACCTCACTGCCTGCATGCACCAGAGCGTTTATGTACACCACAGCGCCTATGTATGCCGCAGCGACCCTGTGTACCGCAGCGCCTACGCACGCCACAATGCCTCCGTGCACCACAACGCCTGTGCACACCAGAACGCCAAACGTGCCAACAAACACATTAGTAGCTTGCGAGGCCTCGTTGCGGGGCTCGCCACAGACCACGGAGGCCTTCAGGACTCGTCATTCGTCTCCTCCGTCTCCACCTCCTCCTCCTCTTCCTCCTCCTCCTCCTCCTCCTCCTCCTGCACCGCCTCTTTCCTGTCCTCTTCCTCTCCGCTCTCAACGGTCCTGGCGGCCTTCGTTGAGGGAGGGGAGTACGGAGCGGCGGGAGGAGCAGCAGGAGGAGCAAGGGGAGCAGTAACAGGAGGATCAGCAGGAGGATCAGCAGGAAGAACAGCAGGAACGCGCATGCGATCACCGAAACATGCTTTTCGGCACCGAGCCATGCCTGTGAGCTCGGCGCCGCAACAGGTGGGCAGCCTGCGAGCGCCACAAGACGTTTATGAGCACCAAAGCATGCCTTTCAGCACCACGCCATGCCTGTCAGCACAGTCCGCCCCCTAGCATGTAGGGGGGGGGATCCAGGCCTGCCCGCCCAGTAAGATCGTTAGCGGTTCCCCGGGAGGGGGCGGGCCTGGGGCACGAGCATTGCGCCAGGGAGGAAAACAAACGCTCACATGCCGGCCTTGGGGACAGGGTCGGGACTCCCATGGGCTCCGTAGAAGTATCAAGACGTCGCATCCCGCGACGCTTTCACCCCAGGGAGGAAGCACCTCTCCGACCCCCATATCTGGCGCTTACTTGAATCGGTTCTAGGTGTTATCCTCAGCAGTCCTTCCCTGGTTCTCCCGCTGCCCCGACTCCAGTTGAAGGGTCGGGGCTTCCTGGGGCCCTGTAGTGAGAAAACAGGACGTCGCATGTTCGGTGAGGAGGCTGGTCCTGAAGGAAGCGGGTCCTGGAGGCTTCCTTCGTTTTCTGGCCCTCGGGGCCCTCCCTGGGCCCCGGGGCTGTCGGATGACTACTTGGGGAAGGCCTTGGTGTCCAGGAGTCCAGGACCCGTTTTCCTCAGGACCCGTCTGTTCCCTGGCAAATGTTGCACCCAGGGTCATTTGTATGTGCAGTTGAGAGGCCATCGCGTGCACCTCACACAGCAAAGCATTATGCAATCATTCGGACGCAGCGAAGCCAGCGCTGAGCCACTGATCAGACCGATGTTGGTAGCGTTGCGAGCGTCACGCCAGCCATGTTCCCAGAGTTTGCGCAGAGCCATCACCACTTCTGACATAAGGATGCAGGCGCGATCGTCGAGCTCACTCCTTGGAGCGAAGGTGTAGGGACCAGCGTCGAAGCAACCAGACTCCCTTAACCAGGTTGCAGGGGCTTGTGTCGAATCGTGCAGCATCGAACCAACGGCATTCTTGGAACCACGGTGCATGGAACAGCGTCGAGGCAAAGAACTTCTTGCCATTTGCGTGCGGAAAGGACCAGGTGGGACACAGGGGCGAGCCGTTGAAATTACAAGGTCGAAGGCGCAACTTTCTTATTCTAAGGGCCACTCAGTGGAAGCATGGTTTGTGCCGCGTGTACACTATATATATAGGTAGGTCTATAAGTCGGTATGTATGTAGGTGTTAATGTAATGTATGTATGTACGTATTGGTGTGTGTGTGTGAATGCACGCATGCCTGCAAGCATACATGCATGTGTGTGTGGATGTGTGTGCATGTGTATATGTGTTGTATGTGTATGTATGTATGTATGTATGCATGTATGCATGTTTGCATGTTTGCATGTATGCATGTATGTAAGTATGTTTGTATGCATGTATGCATGTACGCGTGTATGCATGTATGCATGTGTATGTGTATGTATGTATGTACGTATGCACGTATATATTCAGATATGTATGCATGTATGTGTGAACGTGTATATATATATGTGTGTGCATGCATTTATGTGTGTATAGATGTGTGCAGGTAGATAGGTAGGCAGGTAGGTAGGTATGTAGGTGAATATATATGTATGTATATACATATGTATGTATATGTATATATAATGGATTAATACCAAGTCCCCATCCCGGGGGCCCCGCCCACCTCAAAACCATCGGATCCCCTTTCTTAATACCCCCTCCAAGGGGCCTCCAGACGGCCCAGGAGGCCTCCAGGAGGCCTCCAAGACGACCCCAGGAAGCACCCAAGATGTCCATGAGGGCTCCGAGACGCCACAAGATCGGTCCAAGAAAGTCAAGCTAGTCCCTAGATGGCCCAAGAGGCTTCCAAGACGCCCCAAGAGGCCTCCAATTTGCTTTTTCGTAAGAGGGCCACAGGAGGCTACAAACGGTTGTGTTTTCAAAGGTTTTGTTGGATTGTCTGTGGTTCTCACATTTGCGGCTTCCCGACGCAGCTCCCGAGATCGCCCAAACACGGCCCAAGAGGCTCCCAAGACGGCCCCAAGACAGCCCGAGAGGGACCGAAGCAGCCCAAGATGCCTCCAAGACGGCCCAAGAGGGCCCCAAGACGGCTTTCAGAAGGGGCCCAGACGGTGGATCCGAACGGACTTTCTGGGCCCTCGGCCCCAAGAGGCCTCCAGGAGGCCCCAAGAGAAACCCGGGACGCCCCCAAGAGGCCCCCAGAGGCCCCCAAGAGGCCCCCAAGAGGCTCCGGAGCGGCCCCCAGAGGCTCCCGAGGGGCCCCCAACATGCACCGAACCGAGCCCCAAGAGGCCTCGGAACTGCTTCCAGGAGGCCCCGAAGAGACCTGCTCCGAGGTCGTCGTCGTCGTCGTCGTCGTCGTCGTCGTCGTCGTCGTCGTCGTCGTCGTCGTCGTCGTCGTCGTCGTCGTCGTCGTCGTCACCGCCGTCGTCACCGTCGTCGTCGTCGTCGCGAGCCCGGGCTGCAGGCCAGACGCCCGCCTGGGCTCGAGCTCCGGCCCCGTCTCGCGGGGCGCGCGCGTTGTTCTATCCTCGATCTCCTCCTCGATCCTCGATCCTGCGGTCCCTCCATCCTCCTCGATCCGCGATTGTGATGATAATAGTGATGGTAGTGGTGAGAGTGATGAAGACGATCACGACAACCAGGATGATGTCGACGACAATGTCGACGGAAAACGACGACGATGACGACAACAACAGTGACGACAAGGAGGAAGAAGAGGTGGAAGAAGAGGAGGATGATAACGAGGAGGAGGAACCTCGGAATCAAGAAATACTCAGATCTCTCAGGTAAACGTATCCGGAGCACTTTGGAACAAGGCATATCCCACGTGAGACCTGCGATGTCTGTCAGGCGAAAGTAGCCCGACCACCTGAGCTCCGGGCATCTCGGAGCCCAAAGTTGCGAGGCTGTCTTCGGCCAAATGGAGCAGGGCATCTTCGAACTCAGAGTCGCGAGTAAATTTGAGGCGACAATGGCCTGACCACCTCTGCACAAGCCATCTCGGAACCCCAAATGCGATGATGTCTCAGGCGAAAGGGGCTTGACAAGCACGGGGAAGGGCATCTCCGAGGGCAGATGTGCGAAGACGTCTCAGGCGAAATTAGCCTGACCACCCCAGCTCAGGGCATTTCGGAACTCCAAGTTGCGAGAACGTCTCAGGCGAACGCGGTAGGACCACCAGGGTGCAGAGCGTCTTCGAGCTCAGAGTTGCGATGATGTCTGCGGCGAAAGGACCAAACCACCTCGGCTCAGGGTGGCCTCACCGCATCAGCTCAGAGTATCTAGGACTCTCGAGTTGCGAGGATGTCTCCTGCGAAAGCGGCCGGTCCAGCATGGGCCAGGGCATCCCCCGTGTCTGAGTTGCGGGAACGTCTCATGCGGAGGTGACCTGACCAACTCAGCTCATGACGTCTTACAGTCCAGAGTTTACGAGGATGTCATAGACGAACGTGGCTGGACCACCATAAGACAGGGCATGTCCGAGGCCAGAGTTGCGAGGATATCTCAGGCGAATGTGTCCTGACCACCTCAGCTCGGGACTTCTCGGAACCCAGGGTTCCCCGGATGTCCCAGGCGAGAGTGGCCGAGCCATCATGGAGCGTGGTGATTCATAGGTCAGGGTTGCGAGGATGTCTGAGGCGACAGTGGACTGGCCACCCCAGCTCAGAGTATCGCGGAACCCAGAGTTGCGAGGATATCTCAGGCGAAAGCGGCCAGATCACAGGGGGGCACAGCATCCTCGAGGTGAGAGTTGCGAGGATGTCTAAGGCGAAAGAGGCCTGACCACCTGAGCTCAGTGCATCTCGGAACCCACAGATGTAGGGCTGTCTCAGGCGAGAAGCAATGACCACAATCAGGCTGAGCATCTCAGAACTCAGGGTTGCGAAGATGCCTCAGGCAAAAGTGGCCACACCACCTCAGCTCAGGACATCTCGGGAACCCGAGCTGCGAGAATGTCATAGCCGAAAGTGACTGGACCACCATGGGGCAGGGCCACCATTGTAGTTTCAAACAAATCCCGTCCCTGAGCTTGGCTAGACCCTAAGCGCGCGAAGCGCGCATGGTTCTATATAATGTGATGAATACTGGACTCTCCAGAAAGGGCCCCGCGGCCCCCCTTTTTTGATACCCCCTTCCCGGTGCCTCCAAGAGGCCTCAAGACGGACCAAGAGGCCTCCAAGACGGCTCCAGGAGGCCCTCGAGATTGTCCAAGAGGGCCCCGACACGCACACAAATAGCCCCACGACGCCCAAGTCAGTCCCAATACGGCCTAAGAGGCCTCCAAGACGCCCCAAGAGGCCTCCAAGAGGCTTCACGCGAGGGCCCCAAGCGGCAGACATTGATAGTTTTTTGTGTTGACAGGTTTTTGAATTTTGGGGGGGTTATCGCCTTTTCGGATTCCCGACGCTTCAAGGCAGCCCAAGAGGCCCCCAAGATCGCCCCAAGACGGCCCAAGAAGAGGCCCCCAAGACGACCCCAAGACAGCCCAAGAGGCCTCCAAGACGGCCCCAGAGGGCCCCAAGACGGCTTTCAGAAGGGGCCCAGACGGGGGATCCGAACAGACTTTCTGGGCCCTCGGCACCGAGAGGCCCCCAGGAGGCCCCAAGAGGCGCCCGGGGGAGGCCCCCAAGTCTACGCCAGAGGCCCCCAAGGGGCCCCCAAGAGGCTCCCGAGCCACCCCCAAGAGCCTCCCAAATGGCCCCCAACAGGCACTGAACTGGACCCCAAGAGCCTCGGAACTGCTTCTAGGAGGCCCCCAAAAGACCTGCCACGAGATCCGAACGGCGGAGGTGACATGACCACCTCAGCTCATGACATCTCAGAGTCACAGTTTACGAGGATGTCATAGGCGAACGTGGCTGGACCACCATAGGACAGGGCATATCCGAGGTCAGAGTTGCAAGGATATCTCAGGCCAATGTGTCCTGACCACCTCAGCTCAGGGCATCTCGGAATCCAGGGTTCCCCGGATGTCCCAGGCGAAAGTGGCCGAGCCACCATGGAGCGTGGTATCGCCTAAGTCAGAGTTGCGAGGATGTTTGAGGCGAAAGTGGATTGACCACCCCAGCTCAGGGCATCTCGGAACCCAGAGTTGCGAGGATGTCCCAGCCGAAAGCGGCCGGACCACCAGAAGGCAGAGCATCCTCGAGGTGAGAGTTGCGAGGATGTCTAATGCGAAAGTGACCTGACCACCTGAGCTCAGTGCATCTCGGAACCCAGAGTTGCAAGGCTGTCTCAGACGAGAAGCAATTACCACGGTCAGGCAGGGCACCTCAGAGGTCAGCGTTGCGAAGATGCCTCGGGCAAAAGTGGCCACACCACCTCAGCTCAGGACATCTCGGGAACCCGAGCTGCGAGAATGTCATAGCCGAAAGTGACTGGACCACCATGGGGCAGGGCCACAACACCTCCGAAGTGTTTGGATATCTCAGTGGTGCTTGCGTCGTGCGCCTTCCTCGCGTGGGCTATTGCTTGGACCTCGCATGGCCAAGCCCTGCTCTGCACCATCCCTCTTGTGTGCCTTGTACGCCCTCACTTTGTGCGAACCCGTTCATTCTATTTTATTAGCATCAGTATGGACCGCGGCCATCCGACGCCCCAAAGAAACACACTTAGGCTTCCCTCCTCCCCTGTCCCCCTCTTGCTGACTCCATATGTCCTCGTGCATATCTTGTTTTTTTCGGCGTTCTGCTCCATTGTAGCTTCACAGCAAATCCCGTGCCTGAGCTTGGCTAGAACCAAAGCGCGCGCGAAGCGCGCGCATAGTTCTAGTCTATATATATATACATATATATATATATATATATATGCATACATACATGCATACATACATGCATGCATACATACATACATACATACATACATACATAAATACATACATAAAAAAAGGTGTTCCCGCGCAAGAGGCCCGGGCGCCCGGGGCTGGGACCTGGAGCGCGCAGGGGGGACCGGGGTATCCGAGAACGCTCCCAAAGCACCCCGGAGGGGCCGCGGAGCCCCCAGACTGCCCCAGAGAGCTCCAAGACGCTCCAAGAAGCCCCCCGGGGACTTCGACCAGCCCCTCCAAGACAGCCCAGATAGCCCCAACGTGGCCGGAGATGGGCTCCAGATTGAAAAGACAGCCCGAGAGGCCTCCAAGGCCTCAAACGAGTTCCGAGACGCGTCCCGAGAGAGCCCGAAGAGGCCCAAATCTTTGATTTCCTTTGGTTTTTTATATGTTTTTCGGTGTCTCGCGCGTTCGAGCTTCCGACGCTCCACGACGGCCGACGACGCCCCTAAGGCCGCCCCAAGACCGCCGAAGAGGGGCCTCAGACAGCGCAAGAGAGCCACAGGACAGGCTCAAACTGTGCCACAGAGCGGGAGCGGGAGGCCCCTAGGCGCTCCAAGACGGCCCAGATGGCCCAAACGTGGCCCCAGATGGGCCCAACACGGCCAATACACAGCCCAAGACCCCCCCAAGAGGGCCCAAGAGAGCTCCGAGAGGCGTGCTGATAGAGCCCGAAGAAGCCAATATCCTTGATTTCCGGTTGTTTTTGTTCAATGTTTTTCGCTTTCTCCCGTTCTCGAGCTTCCAACTCTCCAGGACGGCCGAAGACGCCCCGAAGATCGCCCCAAGACCGCCGAAGATGCCCCAAAAGAGCACCAAGACGGCCCCGGAGAGCCTGAAGACTGCCCAAGAGCAGCCCAAGACCGCGCAAGAGAGTCCCAGGAGAGGCACAAGGTGTGCCCCAGAGCGGGAGCGGGAGGCCCCAGGGCGTTCCAGGACGGCTGAGATGATTCCAACGTGGCCCAAGAGGAGCTCAAGACGGCAAACACACAGCCCAAGAGGCCTCCAAGAGGGCCCAAGAGAGCTCCGAGAGACGTCCAGAGAGAGCCCCAAGAGGCCCAAATCCTTGCTGTTGGAGGCCGGGAAGTTGGCACGAGCACTTGCATACGGGGGCGTCACCAGCTGCGAGAGGTGATCCAGGATTTCGGTGTTGGTCGTAACCGATCGGCCGCCGAAGGATCCCAAATCTTGCCACCGTCACCCGTAGATCGGGATCCTCGTTCCTCGGTGGATGCAAGCGCCGATATATTATTGTCGGTGCCAACTTCAGAGCCTCCCACACTGACAAGTTCGAAAGTTCGCCGGCGAGAGGCGTGCAAATAGACATTGGTGCCACATGCTCGTTTGCGTGCCTGGGGCCAGTGGTGCTCAGCGTAGTTGCTGTCGGCGTTGGGGAATCGAACCCCCCCCCTCGAAAACCGGGGGGGGGGGGTGCGGACAGTGGTGGAGACGGTGGTGGTGGGGACAGTGGTGAGGGGACAGCGGGACAGTGGTGGGGACAGTGGGACAGTGGTGGGGACGGTAGTGGTGGGGACAGTGGTGAAGGCGGATCTAGAAATCTCATGTTTGGGGTTGGAATGTGGGTACAGCTCTGGCATCGCAGTGTCGACCACCATTGGTTTGGAAGAAGCTACTTGTGCTTCAGGTTTATACATTTGGCCCCAGTGGAGCATGCCAACCTGATTTAAGGGAAAAGGGATTTGCCTCTAGTGTAAAGTGCATATGGGAAGAATCCTAGTTCAGATTGTTGCCGCGGCTCTGCGGGATCATCTCTGCGAGTGAAAATGTTAGTGATGTTGGTTGTCGCTGGGCGAGATGTTCAAGGCCTTGTGTTGATACTAGAGAAGCATGTGTGAAGTTTCGATGCAGCGCCGAGTCCCTCGCCATTGCACTTTATGGGTCATGAGCAGGTGCGAACTTCCATCGCATGAAAGGATAGTTGCGCGCGCTGCCAAAGGTGTGAAGCCCTCGACAAGATGCAGAGCGGACACGCACACCACATCTTCCAGACTGCCATCTCTCCAGGCCCGCGGCAAGCTGTTGCTTGCAGATTCGCACAGGCGGCAGAGGGAACGCATGGGCTGGATGTGTAGCTCTAGCATATGATTCCTGTGTGTAGTTTGTGCTGGTCAAGTCCTTCGTGCGCTGGCAGCGTTCTGATTCGACCCTTTTCTCGCTCAGGAGAGAATGGGCATCGGAGGCCCATTATGGGCCTCCGATGCTTGCATGTCGGCTTTGTGGCGCTCCCTTTTTAATTGCCGACCTCTGGGATCGCTGTGTGGTAGACGCCCAGTTTCGTGGAGATTTGAGGTAGTGTTCCTTTCTTTCCCCACACATTCACAGACACCCGTTGGCGAACCGAATGCTCACAATGTGACCGCAGCGATATTACGGAGGGTCCGCCGATCTTGAGACGAGAACAGCGCAGGCGCACGATGCTGAAGGGGGACGACAGCTAGGTGCCAGCTGTGGTTTTAATGCCAGGGCGAAAAGCTGCATCTGGGTGATTCGTGTTTCAGAGCCCTTTGGTTGGCTTCTCGGAAGGGCCTCGTAGTTGACGGCGCGCACGTGGGCGTGGGCGGAGGCGGGAAGGGCGGTCTTTCGGGATAGCTGCGGAGCTTGTGAGAAGGCAGGGGGGTTCCGAGAAGCCCTCCCTGCGTTTAGGATGTATTCGTAGTAGCTCGGGGAGATCGAACTTGTACGGAAAGAATGGGTACGATGCCCAACAGCAGCTCCTATTAATTTTGAACTGGACTCGCTGTCCGCGCCGCCGCAAACTGAACGCAAGAAGCCGCCTGCCCGACAGCGGCCGCTGCCGGTTTGGGACAACATTTGTTATTGGGCTTTGAGACTTCTGAGAAGGCCCGCCCCTTCTCAGACGTCTGGATGTTGCGACGTCACTCCACGGCCAGGACAACCTCGTTGCGTTCCCCACCGTGCCCGTGGGTCCAGCTACGCACACCGTGCCTGTGCGGAAGCTGCAGCTGGCCGTGTGGAGGCTGCCCGTGTGCCCGCCCCCCCCCCCAAAGAAGATTGTTGCCCGCGCCCGCCGCCCCCAGACAACATCACCGAGGCCCTCTGCGCCGACGGCGCCCCCCTGGTCGGCGGGGCTGCCCTGAGGCCCAGGACGCCCCCGCTCCGCCGCTCGGCCGCGGCGCACTCAGAGAGGGCCATGCCATCGAGCATCGACGGAACGGGCACCCCTTCCCTGAGACCCTGGCGCCTCGATTGCCTCCTTCGGGTCGGGCGTGGTCGCCCGACTTCGAAGAATGGAGCAGAGAGAGGGGGGGGGCAGGAGGAGGAGGAGGAGGAGGGGAGGAGAGAGGAGGAGGAGGAGGAGGAGGGGGAGGGTGAGGCGGAGGAGGAGGAGGGGAGGGGGAGGGGAGGGGAGGGGGAGGGGAGAGGGGGAGGGGGGAGGGGGAGGGGGGAGGGAGGGAGAGGGGGGGAGGAGGGGAGGAGGAGTAGGAGGGGGGCGAGGACGAGGACGAGGACCAGGAGGAGGAGGAGGAGGAGAAGGAGGAGTAGCAGTACTTTACCAGTGGCTGGCAGTACTTTACCAGTGGCTGGCTGTTTTTCAATCCCAGGACTTTCTGAGGTCGGAGACGACCTCGGGGTGGTGTGGTGATGTGTGGTGTATTACTTGTTTCCCCCGTTTCCCCAGGGAAACAATGCAAATTGTACACACACCAGGATCCCGCATACGCCAGGATCCGCTTTTCTGTGCAAATTTCAGTGCAGGACCGGAAAGAGGGTCGGTGTATACAGTGGGGGCCCATGCCAAGAAACACCCTGCTTGCCTCCAGGGTGCCCTTGGTTTCTTGGGTTTCGATGCTTTTGCTATGGCAGGCGTGACGTTCCCACGCCGCAGATCAGCGGACGCCATGGGGTCGCAGGGTTTGGCCTCTCGTGGAAGGTTTCTTGTGGACTGGCCTCCGCTGCTGCTTCGGCCACGCGCAGAGGGGGGTAGGGGGAGGGGGGAGAGCTTCTTAGAAGCACCCCTGCTTCTTAGAAGGCGCGGGCCTTATCCATAGATGTAAGGCCGGCGCCTTCTAAGAAGCAGCCTGCTTCTAAGAAGCCCTCCCCCTCCCTCCACCCGCTTGTGTGCGCTGCCCCTGGTCGCTTCATGGCCCCCATGGCGGAGCTCCCGCCATGGCCCCCCCGGGGCGGCGTGCCCGCGGGCGGTCGCCCGGCACAGCGCGGGCACGGCCGCCGCTCAGAGGAGGAGCGTGGATGCACGATCCAGAAGGGCACCTCCTCCTCCTCCTCCTCCTCCTCCTCCTCCTCCTCTCCTCCTCCTCCTCCTCCTCCTCCTCTCCTACTCCTCCTCCCCTCCTCCTCCTCCTCCTTCCTCCTGCTCCTGAAGGGCACCCAGGACCCCCGAGCTGCGGAGAAATCCTCCTCCTCCTCGTCTTTCTCCTCCTCCTCTCCTCCTCCTCCTCCTCCTCCTCCTCCTCCTCTCCTCCCTCCTCCTCCTCCTCTCCTCTCCTCCTCCTCCTCCTCCTCCTCTCCTCCTCCTCCTCCTCCTCCTCCTCCTCCTCCTATTCCTCCTCCTCCTCCTCCTCCTCCTCCTCCTCCTCCTCCTCCTCCTCCTCCTCCTCCTCCTCCTCCCCCCCCGCTTCGACCTCCCCTCCGCGACGCCCCAAGAGAGAGGGAGGGGTAAGGGGGGGAGCGCCAGAAGGCTTCACGATAGGTAGAACGGCGGCCCTTTTCACAGTTGGATGCAGCCGGGCGGGAGGCAAAGTTAAACCCGCCCGCGAGGGAGACTCCTCCTTCGAAAGAGCGCGACCGCGATGAGACTCCAGACCAGCGACACAGGTCCTACTGGCTTGGCTCGGCATCATCCACTCGGCCTCGCTTGGACGTGTGCATTTTTCCCTCGGCAAGGACTCTCGAGAAGCATCCTGCACCATCTTGCGGGATTAGAGGGTACGCGCACGAAGCCTAGAAATGGGGCCGCCACAGCCGCTGCCGCTGCTGCTGTTGCCGAGCGGCCCGAGGAGGTGGTGGAGGAGGAGGAGGAGGAGGAGGAGAGGAGGAGGAGGAGGGGGGAGGAGGAGGAGGAGGGGGAGGAGGAGGAGGAGGAGGAGAGGAGGAGTGGAGGAGGAGGAGGAGGAGGAGGAGGAGGAGGAGGAGGAGGAGGAGGAGGAGGAGGAGGAGGGGGACGATCCGAGCGACGAGGAGATCTGCGGTCCTCGAGCCTCGCTCCCCGAGCCGTGGCCCTGGATCCCCTGGGGGAGGCCGCCGCGGCCGCCGCCGCGGCGGTCGGCGCCCACAAGGGACGGGGCCCTCCTGTCAGAGGAGGAACCGGAACTGATGCCGCTACCCGTAGTCGGCGACTACAATGGGTGCGGTTTGCGAAGGGCGCGGTTTGCCTCCCGTCATATCTGCCCCTCCCGCCCCCGGGAAGCGGATGACACTGTTACGCAATGCAACCGTATCACATGACACTGTCGCTCCTTCTAGTACAGTGGAGCACACATCGAGGCTGACAGTGTCGCTCGAAACGACAACAATTATGACATTGTCTCTCACAAAGGCCCCGGAAAAGCCGCCACAAAGCAATTCGCAAAACGCCGCACCCTGACGTAAACGCACCAGTTGTAGTCGCCGACTTAGGTCGGGCGTGCCCCTCTACAGGATGAGTCTCCAAAGATTGTAAAATAATAGTCTGGGGACTGTTTCGACTTTTTGGGAATCTGTTTTGACTATGGTCAGTTTTTTCCCCAAGTCCGCCGGTAGGGGGACGTGCCCGACCTAACGCCACCCTTGCCTCGTTTTCGCCTGCGTTGGCCTCCTGGGAGGCCCTCGTCGCCACGGTTGGATTCGCTTCGATGTCTTGGTCAGAACGCATCCAGGGAGAGGGGCTGGGATCGTGACGACATCCTGGTCAGAACGCCTGATCAGAACACTTCGATTTCCCTGTCAGAACGAGCAGCGGTATCGTGACCCTTTTTGTTTCCCCTGTCCTTGCGGCCAGTGGGGGTGGTGGCGGGGAGGGGGAAGGGGAGGCGAAGTCCAACTGCGGCCCCAGCGAGCGTGTTCGCACGCGGTCCCCGGGGCGGCCAAGTCGCCAGAGCCCTCAACCGTTGCGTGTTCTGCGCGAGGGGATCGGCCCCGCGTTGGTGCGGACGGTCCGCCGGCGGAAAAAGTGATTCGCGCGAGGGTGATGCTCTGGGTCTTCCGCCGCTTGGGCTTCCTCCGGCATGGGGGTCCCCGAGCGCAGTTGTTCAGGAGTGGGTGGGGGGGGGGCTCTTGGCGTCGAGGTCTGCCACCCGGTGGCCCAGGCCCAGGACAGTACCCGAAGGGCGTGAGTCCAGAGGACAGCTCAGCAGATCGCTCAGCACCCAGGCCCCTGGCAGAAGTGAAGCATCGAGCCGGTGGCGCATGGCCCAGGTGATCGTTTTCTTATTCATTGTTCTGCCGATCGGCGCGGGCCCTCGCACACCCCCTCCCCCTTCCTATGGAGTAGATCTTGGCTGTTTTTGGCGCCTGTTTCAAGAAGGTGGAGTCTCCCCCATAGGCCGCACTGTTGCAAACATGCGCACTAAGCAGAAGTCCAGAGTCAGATCCCTCCCCTCCCCCCCCCTTCGTCCCCCCCCCCTCCGCCCAATGTCGAAACGCCGAACAAGAAAACGTTCACCGGCGCATCGTGGAGATTGTGCGCGTGCAGGAGCAGGGCCACTGGCATGTGCCCAGCTGCCCCTGGGCACAGAGGAGCTATGGCGTCCTCGTCGGGTGCTGCCTCGCCACGTTTTCGAGCCGCTCCGTGAGTCTGTAATCCATAGGTCGGGGAGCTTATTCGTGGCCAAGGCTCCTCCTCCTCCTCCTCCCCCTGCTCCTCCTCCTCCTCCTCCTCCTCTCCTCCTCCTCCTCCTCCTCCTCCTCCTCCTCCTCCTCCTCTCCTCCTCTCCCTAATTTTCACAGGGTGACAGTTTGCTCCCCATGGGCTTCTGCCTGGGGGGGGGGGGGGGGCGTCCCTGCCTGCTCTGCTCAGAGGCTGGGCAGGGGCGGCTGTGCTGCGGCTCGGCCGGCTTCCTGACGCTCGGGCCCGCAGCGTCCCGAACGTGTTCCGGAGGCCCGAGGTATGGTTCAAAAACGATGCGTTTCGGGGGCGGCAAAGAGAGGGGTGATGGCTAGGGGGGTGGATATCATGGCGGGGGCCATGATATTTCCCCAGATGTTATGGCGCCTCTCTTCTTATCTCATCACGTCCCTGGCCCCCCCGCTGGGCGGCGCACATGCCCCCGGTCATGATTTGCACCCCCCCTCTTGGACACCCCCCTCTTGGCCGCTCCCGAGCGTTGACCCCCTCGTTTTCTTGGCCCCCCTCGTCGGCGAACCCGATGCTAACGTCGCATGGCTTTGCATGTCTCGTCATAGCGTAGATGTCATAGCATGCTGTCCAAACACCAAGCATCTAGCCCATGTTCAAAGCACGCAGCGCATCATCGCACCATTCGTGTATCTATCCTGTTTGTAAGGCGCGTTCATGTATTGATTGGCTTGCCCCACATCGCCCATTGTTGGGGCTCCCAAAATGCTTCTCTTTTGGAGCGCTGTGTCGTAGAAGCCTCTTGGCGCTGTGCGCGCAGTTGGGAAACCCAAGATCGTGTTCAACAGGGGCCCCTGTGTCTTCTTGAAGACCTTGGGGCTCCTCTTGGGGGCTCTGGGGCCGTCTTGTCGCGTCCAGGCGTCTTTCGGGAGCTTTCTGGGACCATCCTAGCGGCTCCCTAGGCCGTCGTGGGCCCTCATGTGCCGAACGGGTCATCTCCCCCCGAGTAGCCCGCCATCGAGGTTAGACCAACGCCTAACCCTACGAGCACCATGAAGATGTAGCCTCACTGAGGTCCCCGTCTCTGAATTCATGAGAGACAAATAAATGGGCGGCTTGGGTCGATAGGTCTGCTGAGCGGACCCCCTATCCCTAATGTTTCTGACCCCCCTCCCTCAGGTCCCCTCCAGGACTGGACCTAACTGCTGTGTTGCTGGACTTCGGCTGTGCTTTGTGTTCCGTTCTGGCAGGGGGACAAAAGGAAAGCAGGGAGAGCCGCACGAAGTACAACACGAAACAAACACCCAAAACAACGTTTAGGTCCCTGGTCCGAGCTCCCGGAAGGGGAGTGGCTCCTCCTTCTCCTCCGCCTCCTGCTCCTGCTCCTGCTCCTCCTCCTCCTCCTCCTCCTCCTCCTCCTCCTCCTCCTCCTCCTCCTCCTCCTCCTCCTCCTCCTCCTCCCCCTCCTCGCCCTCCTTCAGCAGAGCACGTTCTGATGAAGACGGCCTGTGGGCCAGAACCCGCCCTCTGGTCCCAAAACAACGTTTAGGTCCCTGGTCCCCTCCCAGAGGGTCAGGGCTCAGTGTGTTGCTCACCGGTCCGAGCTCCCGGAAGGGGAGTCCTCCGTGCGCGGAGGCCGCCCGGAGACTGCGCCCCCGAGCTCCTCCGCTGTGCCTCCGCGCCGTGCTGCCTCCCAGGGTCGGCCCCCTGCAGGAGGAGGAGGAGGAGGAGGAGGAGGCGGAGGAGGAGGCGGAGGAGGAGGAGGCGGAGGAGGAGGAGGAGGAGGAGGAGGAGGAGGAGGCGGAGGAGGAGGAGGCGGAGGAGGAGGAGCAGCAGGAGGAGAAGGAGGAGCAGGAGGATGAGGAGGAGGCGGAGGAGGAGGAGGCGGAGGAGGAGCAGGAGGAGGAGGAGGCGGAGGAGGCGCCGTGCTGCCTCCCAGGGTCGGCGCCGTCGCTCAGCCAGCCCTCACGCCCGCGCCGACCTCGGAGGACGACTGCTGGGGAGAGGCGCGGCGCCGCCCGCCCGCCAATGCTCGGTCGGTCTGCTCGCACGCCAGGGGCCTCCTCCTCCTCCTCCTCCTCCTCCTCCTCCTCCTCCTCCTCCTCTGGCCACGCTTCGGCATGCCGTGCCGCCCGTGAGGGCCATCGTGGACAGCAACGGCGTCTTCCTGGGTGTTGCCCGAGCACGGCGAGGTGAGCACGATGAAGTGGTATACGCGTGGGCCCATCTCTGGCGTGAATGTCGGGGGTGGGCAGAACCCCCAACAGTGACACGTCGATGAGTGAGTTGTCCGTTTTCGGTTCTCGAGAGGGCGCCGTGGCCGTTATTCTCCAGGCTTGCGCCCGCCAGGTTTGGGCCTCAGGTCGTTTTCACCAAACCACGTTTTACCCAAAGGGGGGTCTGTCCATCCCCGGGAACGCTGGAGGCCGATCGACGAGTTCGGCGGCCTGGGGCCACAAGGGCTCACTCTGAAGAGGGCGCCTGCCCATGCTGCTCGGTGGAGAGGAGTCTCCGACGTACTTAGGCGACCCGTCCTCCTCCTCCTCCTCCTCCTCCTCCTCCTCCTGCTCCTCCTCCTCCTCCTCCTCCTCCTCCTCCCACTCCCCCTCCTCGTCTTCCTCCTCCTCCTCCTCCTTCTCCTCCTCCTCCGCTTTCTCAGTCCGCGACTGGGTCGGCGAACGGTTCCGCGGGCAGGGCGGCGCAGAGTGCCGCCGAGCGTGCGGGGAGCGTGCCGGGCGGTCGGCTGCGACTGGCCTCGGCCAGCACTGCGTGGGCGAGGGCGTGGCGATGTGGGTTCCCCGGCCGTCGGGGGCGGTGCCGGAAGGGCGCGGACACGACCCACCGCGCGGCGAAGCCCACCCGAGCGGCACCGCGGGCGGCCCCCCTCCGATTCTTCCCATTGTCTACACCTTAGGCGATGCTTAAGAAAACCTAAGTTTTCGTCCAATGTAAATCCCAAGATTACCTAACAGCGAAGACTGATAGGTTTCTAGTTGACTCAAAAGAGCTCACAGATCACTCCACAGGGGGGTCCGGGCAGGCGTTGGGAGTTGCCGGCCGGGCCTGTGCCGGGCTCGTTTTTCATTTACAGTCACACACTTCGTGCTCTTCGACTTCCCAGAACTCCACTCCCAGGCCACATTTTGGTTTCGCCGGTGCCAAGAGTGAATTCAGCGTGGATTTGCGTCTTCGTTTTTCATTTTTATTTTCCTTTTTCCCGGAAAGGGCGTGGGCCCAGGGTTCTCTTTTAGTAGGTAAACCTGTCCCCCGGTGCCAACTTGAGGGAGGCCGGCGAATTTTTTCCCTGATAAATAACGAGGTCGAAGGAGGCCGGCGAATTAAAATTTGAGGATGTCTCGAGCGAAACGCTTGTTTTTGAAATCCCGATCGATAAATCACAGGGTGCGGGCCACTTTTTCGTGTGTTGAGGATGTCTCGAGCGAAACGCTTGCTCCGCAGAGTTTGCCGAGGATGTCTCGAGCGAAACGCTTGTTTTGCAGAGCCGACCGCGACGCGGAAAAGCGCCCCGCGCGAAGGAATTTCGATGATGTCTCGACTAATTCCTTTGTTTTTGTACGATTTCCTGGAATTTTGGCAGGATGTCTCGAGCGAAATGCACGACCCCACCCTAGCACGACCATACCCCAGCACGACCACACCCCAGCACGACCAGACCCCAGCACGACCCCACCCCAGCACGACCCCACCCCAGCACGACCATACCCCAGCACGACCACACCCCAGCACGACCCGACCCCAGCACGACCCTACCCCAGCAAGACCACACCCCAGCACGACCACACCCCAGCACGACCTCACCACAGCACGACCACGCCCCAGCACGACCACGCCCCAGCACAACCACCCCCCAGCACGACCACGCCCCAGCACGACCACCCCCCAGCACGACCACCCCCCAGGACGACACCCAGCACGGCCCCACCCCAGCAAGACCACACCCCAGCACGACCACACTCCAGCACGACCTCACCACAGCACGACCACTCCCCAGCACGATCACGCCCCAGCACGACCACATCCCAGCACGACCACACCCCAGCACGACCCGATCGATAAATCACAGGGTGCGGAGCACCCCAGCACGAACCCACCCCAGCACGACCCCACCCCAGCACGACCCCACCCCAGCACGACCACGCCCCTGCATGACCACACCCCAGCACGACCACACCCCAGCACGACCACTCCCCAGCACGACCCCACCCCAGCACGACCCCACCCTAGCACGACCACACCCCAGCACGACCACACCCCAGCACGACCCCACCCCAGCACGATCACACCCCAGCACGACCCCACCCCAGCAAGACCACACCCCAGCACGACCGCACCCCAGCACGACCACACCCCAGCACGACCACGCCCCAGCACGACCACGCCCCAGCACGACCACGCCCCAGCACGACCACGCCCCAGCACGACCACGCCCCAGCACGACCACCCCCCAGCACGACCACGCCCCCAGCACGACCACCCCCCGGCACGACCACCCCCTCAGCACACCAAACCTCCCAGCACGACCCACACCCCAGACACGACCCAGCTCCCCAGCACGACCCACACCGCCTGGTTGAGTGGTTGCCCTGTCGTCGTGGAATGTTTCGTGGGGGTCCGTGGAAATGTTTGCGGGGGTGGTCCGTGAAATGTTTCGTGAGGTGTCTCGATTGGAATGTTTCGTGAGGTGTCTCGTGGGCTGTTTCGTGAGGTGTCTCGTGGGATGTTTCGTGAGGTGTTGCCCAGTTGGGTATCATGAAAACGTGTCCATGCTCCACATGTCTATATCCCTTTCCGGGTTCGTGGGTCCATCATGTTTTCTGATATGCGCACGTCAATCGATCATGTGGCTCGGGCGTTCGTGTGAATGCCGTGTGGCCAGCGAATTTCGAATGTCTTCCGTGCCCTTGATTCTTCCTCATCGTATTCATTTATCTTATTCCTCTTGCCTGCATTGTTTTTCCCGGAAAGGGCATCGGCCCAGGGTTCTCTTTTAGTAGGTAAACCTGTCCCCCGGTGCCAACTTAAGGGAGGCCGACGAATTTTTTCCCTGATAAATAACGAGGTCGAAGGAGGCCGGCGAATTAAAATTTGAGGATGTCTCGAGCGAAACGCTTGTTTTTGAAATCCCGATCGATAAATCACAGGGTGCGGGCCACTTTTTCGTGTGTTGAGGATGTCTCGAGCGAAACGCTTGCTCCGCAGTGTTTGCCGAGGATGTCTCGAGCGAAACGATTGTTTTGCAGAGCCGACCGCGACGCGGAAAAGCGCCCCGCGCGAAGGAATTTCGATGATGTCTCGACTAATTCGTTTGCTTTTGTACGATTTCCTGGAATTTTGGCAGGATGTCTCGAGCGAAATGCACGACCCCACCCTAGCACGACCATACCCCAGCACGACCACACCCAGCACGACCAGACCCCAGCACGACCCCACCCCAGCACGACCCCACCCCAGCACGACCATACCCCAGCACGACCACACCCCAGCACGACCCGACCCCAGCACGACCCTACCCCAGCAAGACAACACCCCAGCACGACCACACCCCAGCACGACCTCACCACAGCACGACCACACCCCAGCACGACCACGCCCCAGCACGACCACGCCCCAGCACGTCAAGCCCCAGCACGACCACGCCCCAGCACGACACGCCCAGCACGACCACCCCAGCACGACCACTCCCCCCAGCCGGGGGGGGGGACCACCCCCAGCACCGCCACACCCCACAGCACGAACCACTCCCCAGCACGACCCACTCCCAGCACGACACACCCAGCACGAACACACCCCAGCACGACACACCCCAGCCCGACCACACCCCAGCACAGACCACACCCCAGCACGACCCGATCGATAAATTCACAGTGTGCGGAGCACCCAGCACGAACCCACCCTAGCACGACCCCACACCAGAACGACCACCACCTCAGCACGACCACACCCCCAGCATGACCACACCCCAGCACGACCACGCCCAGCACGACCACGCCCCAGCACGACCACACCCCAGCACGACCACACCCCAGCACGACCACACCCCAGCACGACCATACCCCAGCACGACCACACCCCAGCACGACCCGACCCCAGCACGACCCTACCCCAGCAAGACACACCCCAGCACGACCACACCCCAACACGACCTCACCACAGCACGACCACACCCCAGCACGACCACGCCCCAGCACGACCACGCCCCAGCACGACCACGCCCCAGCAAGACCACGCCCCAGCACGACCACGCCCCAGCACGACCACCCCCCAGCACGACCACCCCCCCAGCACGACCACCCCCCAGCACGACCACCCCCCAGCACGACCACACCCCAGCACGACCACTCCCCAGCACGACCACACCGCCTTGGTTGAGTGGTTGCCTGTCGTCGTGGAATGTTTCGTGGGGTGTCTCGTGGAATGTTTCGCGGGGTGTCTCGTGAAATGTTTCGTGAGGTGTCTCGTGGAATGTTTCGTGAGGTGTCTCGTGGGCTGTTTCGTGAGGTGTCTCGTGGGATGTTTCGTGAGGTGTTGCCCAGTTGGGTATCATGAAAACGTGTCCATGCTCCACATGTCTATATCCCTTTCCGGGTTCGTGGGTCCATCATTTTCTCTTCATTTCCCTCCCGCTGTCATCTTCTTTTCTCAGGGCCTGCGACAGGATCCAACAGGGCGCCGGGAAGACTGCAAGTGAGCTCGAGGAGAGTCCAGCAGGTCCCGAGAAGGATTGCAAGCAGGCCCGAGGATCCCAAGACAGGCTTTGTAGGGGTCCAAAACAACTTGCAGACCTGTCTCCTCACATATGTTCTGACGCGTTTCGGCCGTGGTCCGCGGGGTTATACTGTTCATCCGCCTTTTTGCCTTCATTTCCGACGCCTCGCGCATTTCCGCCAGCCAAGGCAAAAGCAATCACCAGGCGAGTTGCTTCGATCAGCATGTGTAGCAGCATGCGGCGCCGCAGCGAACCGAATGTGTTTTCACTGGTTCTGCA